CCAGGTTTTGAGAATACCATGTATCCTGATCATGTATATAAACTGGACAAAGCACTCTATGGGCTAAAACAAGCACTTAGAGCATGGTATGATCGATTTTCTACTTTCCTTCTCACACATGGATATACAAGAGGAAAAATTGATAATACACTGTTTCTTCGAAAACAAGGTAAAGATCTATTCATAGTCCAAGTATATGTAGATGATATCATATTTGGAGGAACCAATGACTCACTAGGAGTAGAATTTGCTCAACTAATGAATAGTGAGTTTGAGATGAGTATGATGGGAGAGTTAAACTTCTTCTTGGGACTCCAAATTAAGCAAACTCCAGTTGGAACATCAATTCATCAACAAAAGTACATCAAGGAATTACTGAAGAAGTATGATATGAATGAAGCTAAGTCAAATGACACACCCATTGGGACAACAACAAAGCTTGATAAGGATGAACCATGTTCACCAGTCAATGACACTAGATATAGAGGTATGATTGGATCAATCCTATACCTCACTGCCAGTAGACCTGATATAGTGTTCAGTGTTGGTCTATGTGCAAGGTTTCAATCTTTTCCCAAGGAATCACATCTAAAAGCTGTCAAAAGAATCTTGAGATATTTAAAAGGCACAATGAACCTGGTTCTCTGGTATCCAACTGGTGACTCTTTTGATCTAAAAGGATTTGTTGACGCAGATTATGCAGGACATATGGTTGATAGAAAAAGTACCTCTGGGATGGCACACTTTTTAGGACCATGTTTAATATCTTGGGCAACTAGGAAACAAAATTCAGTGGCTCTATCTATTGCAGAGGCTGAGTATGTTGCAGCTGTTTCATGTTGTGCCCAACTTCTTTGGATAAAATAACAGCTTAAAGACTTTGGTATAGAAACAGGTTGTAGTCCTATTCTATGTGATAACACAAGTGCTATGAACATGGCCAAAAACCCAGTTCAACACAAACGCACCAAACACATAGATGTTAGACATCACTTTCTTCGTGATAATGTTGAAAAAGGAAACATAGTAATGGAGTTCTGCAAAACTGAGGATCAAGTTGCTGATATTTTCACCAAGGCACTAGGAAGAGAGTCATTTCAGAAAAATAGACTTGAGTTAGGGCTCATCTTTTTAGATTGAATTCTGTCCAACCAAGTTCTAAGGAGATATGAACCAGGTTCAGTCAAGTTGGTTCTACAACTGCTTTACACTTAGCTGTCAAAAAATAAAAAAAAAAAGAAAAAGAAAAGGAGAAAACAATTCCATCTTCTCTCTCCTATGTCACATCTCTGAAAAGCAGGTGCAACCGTCAAAACACACGTCTCCTCTATGTCAATCCCCCATAATTGCTCAAACCCCTCGAATACAACATCAAAACCGTTCCCAATAAAGCACTCTCTCTAAACAAACAACCAACTTTTTCTCATCTTCATTCTTCAAAAAAAAGGAAAAAGAAATCTCCTCCATCACCATGGTTAACCCATTCGTTGCTTACTCACGAAAACTTGTCTGACAGTGCATTTTCTCAGGGGGAAGAGAACACAGTCGTTGATGCTGTGTCTAATCGAGGGGAAGAAAGCCAACTTCCAACCAAACCATCTACATCTTCACCCAAATCAGATCCGTCTACATCTCCACCACCAAAAGTTACATCTCCACCATCACCGGTTAAAGAAGCATCTCCACATGTAGTTGCAAAATCTTCACCACCACCCACCATAGAATCTCCACCACCACCAGTCCAAGAAACCCCATTATCACCAAACCCAGAAACCCCCACAACCACCGTCCAAAATAACCCTCCTTCTTCCCCATCTCACAAAACTACTCCTCAAAATCCACCACCATCTCCACATTCTCCAATCAATGATGACATTCTTCTGAGTACCCTTCACCCTAAAAAACCAAGACGGCCAAGAAAGCACATTGCAGTTAAACAGGTTCGTCCACACAGGACAGTGAATCGGAGTGCGAATGTGGCCAAACCAACTGATGATGCAACATCTAGTGTGAAGCGTCGTCATCTGGGTAAGTCTCCTGCTCACTCATCTGTTTCTCCAATGAATCTTGATTCTGAAACTGATGATGTCTCTGAGGGTAAACATTCTGCAACCCCTCAATCAAAATCGAAATCTGCAAAAAGAAATGTAGATAAATTTCGTAAAGTGGGAAAGAAAAAGTATTTCCAAACCAAAACGGTGCTTAGGGGTAGAACTTTTCACCATGATATACTTTCAATGGATATAGTCAAGCAAGTTTGTGAACTACTAAGGTTTCAGGGGTGGGAGGAATTATTCCTTGAACCTAATTTGATTTATGAACACGAAGTGGTAGACTTCTATACAAACTTGGTAATCCTGGAAGGAGATGTGGTATCATCTAGTGTGAAGGGGGTTGGCATTGTCTTTGATGCAACTAAACTTGGGGAAATCTTGCATATACCATTTGTGGGGATTAATGAGTACAATTGGGGTTTTGATGAATATTCTAGCTTGCCAGCCAAATTCTCTCAAGGTAGAGTCAATTCTAGGGCACAAGCTGTTTTAAAGGGCATTATGAGATCTTTGCATAAGCTTCTTTTAGAGATAGTTCATAAGGTGATACTGCCTAGAGGTCACCAACGTCACATTGCATCCATAAGAGACATGAGACTTATGAATGCTCTTGAGTGCAAAGAACGCATTGACTGGCCCACACTGATTATCAAACATCTTTCTAGAATTGTTGATCCTAAACTAGGTTCTCATCAGTTAGCTTTTGGAAATCTGTTAACTAGAGTGTTTGATGCATTTGAAGTACCATTGGGAGAAGGCAGGATTTTAACTCGTGCAGATATGTTCACTCAAACTATCCTTGCTGATTGTGGCATTCCCATGGAGTCAGAGCAGGTTGCAAATGCTTCTCCACGTACATCTGGTCCTGTTGCTCAGTTACTCAGGGAACTTAAAGTAGCTGAAGAAAAGTATGCCACTCTTGAGTCAGAAAACCAGAAGTTACGTGCTGAACTTGACACTTCAAATGCTGAAATTCACAGGTTGAAGGATCAGTTAGTGCAGCAGCAACTTGCTAACAATGCAAGAGTTGACAGAGTTCTGAATATGCTGGCTTCTGCTTCAACTAAGCCTGGTCAACCTTCACATTGAAAAATCATCTTGTTTGAACCTGGTTCTCTTAGTTGTTTAAACTCTGTGTTGTTACTCTTTGTTTTTTTGCCAGATCATTTTATTATGCTCAACTGGCTGGACCTATATTGTTGCTATGGATGTTGATTGGGTTTGTTTAGCCGCTGTTGGATTCTTTTTGATTTGTCAAAAGGGGGAAGAGTATTTGCGCATGCATCACACAGAAAGATTTGTTTGTCTTCGTCAAAAAGGGGGAATATGATAGAATATGGTAGAATCGATAATTCATGTTTTGATGATATACAAGAAGCGCAAATAATCAGTAGCAAATGTACGCAGCAAAAGAAGCCAAGCTCGAGTCCATGATCGAGTAAAATGGGTCAGCCAAGTAATCAAGAAAATAGAGTTATTTGTCAAAGCCAAAAATAATATATTAAAGGTATAAGTTGATACAAATAAGGAAAACCTTAAATATATTATTAAGGAAGGAAGTTGTATATAATAAGGATTGTACTTTAAAAGGGAATCCTTGTTTAACAATAACTTTCTTACCTCATCTGATAAGGACTTAAGGCAAAAGAAACTCTATAAGAAGAGGACGATGCTGATGAAGAATCCCACGACTTCACATAGAGAGAAAAGTGAGAATTATTCATCAAACTAAAGTCTTCAAGATCAATAGGTTTGCTACGTTTAAAACGTTCTTGAGTGAGAAGGTTTTTAACGTGTAGAACTATCTTCTTGTTTTGTTCTTGATTGTAATTTACAGTTTATTATACAAAGGGTGGGTTTGGCTCTTTGTAGGGTTGAGTTTTCGTGAGGATTGTAACAAAAGGTGGGTTTGGCCTTTTGGAGAGATCGATTGTAGTCAATCGAGAGAGGTAGTAGAGATAAGGCTTTTTGATTATTGAGTTGTAATCACAAAATCTTATAGTTGAATTAATAAAACGAGGTTTTTCCTTCCTTGAGTGCGGAAGGTTTTTAATTTAATAAGTGTTTGTGTCTTTACTTAAAAGCAACTTACAAGAACCTGGTTCTTGTTCTGGGGTAAGGTTTCTTCAAGGTCAGTTGTCTTTAGGTTGTGATAACTTGAAGGGTTGGGAACACCTACCTTGGAAGGTTTGTGTTTGAAGTTTGGGAATTATAATTCGTAATTCCTTAGGTTATGTAGACTTGTAATCTGTTTTCTGTGGAGGGTCAGTGATTTAGTGAAGTTTAAGTTAAATCCTATAGGGGTACAAATTGTGATTTTTTCACCTTCTGAGTCGGGTGTTTTCCACATAAAAACACTGTGTTTTTACTTATTGTCGTTACTGCTTTGCTAAAACACGTTATACAACCTGTTACACACTTAAACGAAAAGTTAAAATCAGTAAATTACGATCGTGCAGACTAACCGTTTATATCTATTAGTCGCATTTAATATAATCTTTTATAAATTATTGTCACAACATTTCTTTGAGATTGTTCCATTTTAATATTCATTACGCACATATTTTCATTGAAATTTCATGAGACACATGTACGTTGCACGTATTGTAGAAACTGGTTTAACAAATATACGACAGCACACTGCGCACATCTTTGTTACATTTAAAAGAATTTTCTCTCCAACTTTGAACTCTCAATAAAAAATGAGAAAAGAAAAAAGGTGACAATGAGATAACAGCCAAGTCGTTGAGACTTTTCGTCATTTCATTTATTTCTCAAGATAAAAAGTAACGATAGAGAGACTTTTCTAAAATATATATTTTTTTAGGTACAAAAGAAAATCTATAAAAAAGATAATCTTATCTTTCTTTATTTCAATTCACTCTCTTCCACATAAAAGAAAAATAAAAATATACAGAGACTTGCGAGTGCTCTGAGACTTTGACTAATACATACAACTTGTTAAACTAAACATTAATCTGAACCAAGAAAACACTGCACAGACTAAGTGTTGACTGAATTGAATTTGATATCATTAAAATATATTCCTTTGCATTATCTATTCTTGTTGGCTTAATTATGGATAGAAGTTTCATTCTTCTCTTTTTCATTCTACTACATAACAATATTTTACATGCTACTGTTCCTAATATTAGCAGTGATGAAGCTGCTCTTCTTGCACTTAAATCACACATTTCTAACAATATCATAGCAACAAACTGGTCTTCTTCCGTCTCCGTTTGCAGCTGGATTGGAATCACTTGCAGCTCCCGTCACCATCGAGTCACTGCTTTAGACATTTCAAGCATGCAACTTTATGGTACCATTCCTCCACACCTTGGAAACCTCTCATTTATTTCATCGCTTGACATCAGTAACAACACTTTCCATGGAGAGTTGCCACTAGAGTTGGTTCGTTTGCAGAGGTTGAAATTCTTTAATACTAAAAACAATAACTTCACCGGAGCCATTCCATCATTTTTAAGTTTGTTACCAAACCTACGCTTTCTGTACCTATCGAATAACCAATTTTCGGGTAAAATTCCATCCTCCCTTTCCAATCTGACAAAACTGCAAGTGTTGTCAATACAGAGTAATTATATTGAAGGAGAGATCCCTCAAGAACTCGGTGATCTTCGTTCCTTGATTATCCTAAACCTGCAATATAATCAGCTTAGTGGCTCTATACCATCTTCAATCTTTGACATCACTACAATGCAAGTAATTGCTCTTAGTGGCAACAATCTTACTGGAAAGATTCCAATCACGATATGTGATCATCTTCCAGACTTGGAAGGACTTTACCTCGGCAGAAACTCCCTTGATGGAGTTATTCCACCAAACCTGGAGAAATGCAGAAAGCTTCAAATATTGGAATTGACTGAAAATGAGATTGCTGGAACTGTACCAAGAGAGTTAGCCAACTTAACAACTCTTACAGGACTATATCTTATGGATCTGCATTTGGAAGGTAGTATGAAATTTTCTTCCTTTTTCTCTTTTCTGCCAAAACTTGTGCTCATATATATTCCCAAAATTGACAGGAGAGATACCAATGGCGCTCGCTAATCTTAAGAAACTTCAAACATTAGTATTATCACTGAATGAGCTAACTGGCTCTATCCCTGACAGCATTTTCAACATGTCAACACTGCAGAAAATAGATTTTGGACAAAACAAGCTTACAGGTACTCTGCCTTCAGATTTAGGTCGTGGAATGCCCGACCTACAAGTATTTTATTGTGGAGGAAATAATCTGAGTGGTTTTATCTCTGATTCAATCTCTAATTCTTCAAGACTCACAATGTTAGACCTCTCCAGCAACAGTTTCACAGGTCTAATTTCAAAATCACTTGGTAACTTAGAATACCTTGAGGTTCTCAACTTGTGGGGGAATAATTTTGTCAGCGATTCAACATTGAGCTTCCTTGAATCATTGACAAACTGTAGGAATCTAAGAGTACTCACGCTTGGTGGTAATCCGTTGGATGGTGTTTTGCCTGCATCTGTTGGTAATTTCTCAAACTCCTTGCAAATTTTTGAAGCATCTAAATGTAAACTGAAGGGTGTCATTTCAAAACAAATTACTAATCTTACTGGATTGACAAGGATGAGTCTGTCGAACAATCAGTTGATAGGTCATATTCCAAAAACAGTGCAAGGAATGCTGAACCTTCAAGAACTTTACCTAGGAAGCAACAAGTTAGAAGGAGCCATACCAGATGTTATCTGCAGTTTACAGTATCTTGGTGCATTAGAATTGTCAGAAAATCAATTTTCTAGTTCCGTTCCACCATGCTTAGGGAATGTTACTAGTTTGAGGACACTCTATCTAGATAACAACAAGCTGGATTCTAGATTACCTGCAAGATTGGGGGGACTTCAAAACATCATAGAGTTCAATATTTCATCCAATTATTTGAGTGGAGAAATTCCGCTAGAGAGCGGAAACTTGAAGGGTGCAACACTGATTGATCTGTCAAATAATTATTTTTCTGGTAAGATTCCTAGTACTCTAGGGGGCCTAGATAAATTAATTTATCTTTCTCTAGCACATAATAGATTAGAAGGGCCTATTCCTGAATCATTTGACAAATTGTTGGCATTGGAATACTTGGATTTGTCCTATAACAATCTTAGCGGTGAAATTCCAAAGTCATTAGAAGCTCTTGTGTATCTCAAATACCTAAATTTCTCTTTCAATGAACTCAGTGGAGAAATTCCCACTGATGGTCCCTTTGCAAATGTAACCAGTCAGTCTTTCTTGTCCAATGATGCACTTTGTGGTGACTCCCGGTTTAACGTAAAACCATGCCCAACCAAATCTACAAAGAAATCAAGAAGAAAAAGAGTGCTTACAGGTTTATATATTCTATTAGGGATAGGATCACTCTTCATGTTGACTGTTGGATTTGTCGTGTTAAGATTGAGAAACACAAAGAAGAATGCTAGTCAAAAGGATCTGTCTCTCGTAAGAGGGCATGAAAGAATTTCCTATTATGAACTTGAACAGGCAACTGAAGGATTCAACGAAACCAACTTGCTTGGTAATGGGAGTTTCAGCAGGGTTTATAAAGGGGTACTTAAGGATGGTATCATTTTTGCAGCAAAGGTATTCAATGTGCAATTGGAGGGTGCATTCAAAAGTTTTGACACGGAATGTGAGATACTTCGCAATCTTCGCCACAGAAATCTTGCCAAAGTCATTACCAGCTGCTCCAATCTTGATTTCAAGGCCCTAGTGTTGGAATACATGCCCAACGGGACACTTGATAAATGGTTATACTCTCACAATTTGTTCTTGAACTTATTGCAGAGATTGGATGTAATGATAGATGTTGCATCTGCAATGAACTATCTCCACAATGGCTATTCAACGCCTGTAGTGCATTGTGACTTGAAACCAAGTAATGTCTTGTTAGATGAAGAAATGGTTGCTCATGTAAGTGATTTTGGCATTGCAAAAATGTTAGGTGCAGGGGAGGCTTTTGTTCAAACAAGGACAGTTGCAACCATTGGATATATTGCTCCAGGTATATTTTAAGTTTTCTCGTATCGCCTTTAAATACTCAAAACAATTCTTTCCCCTATGTATAAATTGATTTGTGGTCATTTTCGACCATGAATACAGAGTATGGACAAGATGGAATAGTATCCACGAGTTGTGATGTTTATAGTTTTGGTATCCTGATGATGGAGACGTTCACACGAACAAGACCAAGTGATGACATATTTACTGGAGACTTGAGCATACAAAGCTGGATTAGTGATTCCTTTCCGGGTGAACTTCACAAGGTGGTGGATTCTAATTTGGTACAGCCCGGAGATGAACAAATCGCTGCAAAGATGCAATGTTTGTCATCTGTCATGGAATTAGCTTTGAAGTGCACTTTAGTGAGACCTGATGCAAGAATTAGCATGAAGGATGCTCTTTCAACACTCAAAAAGATGAGGCTACAGCTTGTTAGTAGTCGGCATTAGGTGGAATCATTACCAACCTTCTCTTGTATGTTATTTAGTTACCAGTTTTCTCTCTTATGTAATTCAATTTCGCACGAGTGTATTTTATCTTAGTTGTTGGCTTGATTTATGGAAGTTGAAAATGAGATTTAAAATGCTCAACACAAGATTTTCTTTTCGTATTTACACAACTTTGAGAATGCTTCCAATTATATCACCACAACTGTAACAGTTTTATCAAGTCCTCTCCTTCCAGCCATCTAAGTGTAGTCTCCGGGAGTAGCTGCCTAAATTCCTTGTCGTCAAACTTACATAAGAATCAAAAGCAACTTGCCTCCAAAATTTGATGCAGTTTAAACCTTTTAGTGTTCAATGAGTTTGCTGTGCGCCCATTGGGTGAGGGAAGAGCTTTAACTCGTGCAGGTTCCTATTGCATCTCCGCGGGCTTCTGGACCTGTTACTCGTCTACTAATTTGGGATCTTAAGATTGCAAGGGAAAAGTGTGAAAATCTACTGGCTGAAAATGCATACTGATTTAACTGCATCTAAAGAAGAAGTTGGTTGATTGAAGGATCAGTTAGTACAGAAGAAGCTTGATAGCAACGCTAGAGTGGACTGGATCCTCCAGTTACTTGCTTCTTCATCCTGTCCTCCAAACCCCAATCATTCCTCTTCTTGATCCCTGCTTTCTGGTCTAGTTTCTTATACTTTTGGACTGAAGACATTGTTATGTTCTTTTGAGTTTTGTGCTTAGACTGAATATTTTGTGAGCTTAAAATGTTGGTGTATCTCGGATCCTCTGCTTCCTTCGTTCTTGCATGTTTTTGCATATGTTTACAGATGGCTAATATCATTAGATTGGAGGTATCTTGTTGTGTTCTACGCGATGTTGCTCTTCCGGAGCTCTGCGTTTTCGTTGGCTTGGTTTACTGTTTTAACGCTTTTCTCTTCTTTTTGATATGTATTGCTCTTGTGTACTGTGTGTATTGACCTTATACAGGAAATAGGAGTAGACGATTTGTCATCATCAAAAAAGAGGGAAAATGTGTTGGGTTTTATTTTCCCTAAATTTCTTATCATAAATAGGTTTTCCTTTAAGGGGAAGGTTTTGATTGACTAATCATTTTCTTGTAGGAAAAGGTTTAGGACTCTATAAATAGAGAAATGTTCCTTCTAACTTAGTCAGCATTCACAATGTAGTCTTAAGAGCTTTGAGAGTTTTGGTTAGGGAGAGAATTTATGGGTCACAAGTTGGATACATTATCACTTGTGTGAACCTCCCATGTATTCCGAGTGAATTGGTTGAGGTTGTTTCTCTCTGTATTTTGTACTCTCATATTTATAGTGGATTGCTCATCTCCTTTGTGGACGTAGGTCGATTGACCGAACCACATTAAATCTTTGTGTGTTTTGGTATATTTCTCGTTGTCTTCTTACTCGTGGTCTTTTGAGGTTTGCTTTGCTAGCTTCCGCGTTTACACCTGCTGATTTTCGGTCCTAACAAAATGATGGTTTACGAAGTTGACGATAGACATGCAATCAGATTTCAAAAAGAGCTGGGAGAAAAGATTTCAAAAACGAGAGAAAGAAAAGAGAGCTAACACACAAAGGCCAATCAATTTGAGAGATCATAGAAATATAAGTTAAGAAGTTCTATAGTTAGAATTTCTTTTGTCATGAGTAGAGTGTTTTGATTCGTACTTAGAGTCATTATCGTAGGAGGAGTGGATTTGGCTTCTTGTAGAGTTGAGTCTTTGAGAGGTTTGTGACAAGGAGTGGATTTGACTTCTTGGAGAGTAGAGATAGTCGATTATAGTTAATCGAAAGTTTTTCTGTGAGTTCATTGATGAGTTAATAACTTTGATAGCCACTCAACTATCAATTGTTTTCACAGATATAGACATCTGAAATGCTCTGTTGTTTGTGACTTTATAAACTTGTTGATTTTAGTATATATCCTCAAAATGTAAGTTGTACTCCTACATTCCAAGTCTGCATAATATGGCCATTTTCAATGCATGACTGTGCTACATGTGTGTGACTTTGTTTATCAATTCTCTGCTGGAACGCATATGACAACAATCTATGTTCCGAGATTATCAACAACTTGAATATCCCTGCTAACCAGACTGCAACTAGTTGTTGCCTGCAATCACATATCTGCATATTGTTGCACAGGACTGTGATTGTCTTTATTGGTTGCTAAATGTACGTTCCCTCATTCACTTAGCTGCATAGAGTGCTGACTATTAGAGTTTAGGGCCTGATGACATGATTATCTCCAACCTAAAATTCGTAAACACAAACCAAGCTAACCAAAACTAGTTTAGTTCATAATGACAAGGAATTGTACAGAAATAAAGGAGGAATTTTAATCTTTCTGAAATGATCATAATGCACAACTACCTGAACTTTCTGTTCCTAATAAACAACAACTTAAATAATATTTAAGCTGAAAGACAAGAAAAACGGAAAGTCCAGAAGTTGTATTTAACATAGAGGAAATCAAGGAGGAACATTATTCCTTGTCAACTTTTTCCTTCTGAAACTTCGCATTCCCAACCTCTCCAAATTACAACTTCCTCTCGCTGTTTTTAGTAATTGAGTGGGAGTGTTAAAATGTTGAATAATATCATGCTTGTGACTATATTTTGTCCATAAATATAGGTAAAAAAAGTTTTCTTCCTATTATTTCTTTTTACTTAGGATCTTTTCTTTTTCCTTTTATATAATATTTTTTTTTATCTAATTAGAAGAATAATTAACTGAATAGAAGTATGGAAACTATAGATAACCTACCGTATGTACTGGTATCACCCCATTCTTAATCTTATTATGAAATTAAAATTAGTTTGTCAAAATGGTTTGATTATCTCTTGGTAATTTATTAATCACGGACCAATATATACCTTTAACAAAAGATTACAATAAAAAATATTATATAAAAGAAAAATAAAAAAAAGATCCTAAGTAAAAAAAATAATAGGAAGAAAACTTTTTTACATAAATAATATGGACAAAATAATATGTTGCTAAAATTGTGAGATTATAATAATTTTGATACTTGATATATAATATATTTATTAACTAAATCATGCTTAGAGGTTTAGTTTGAAAAATTAAATCTTAATCATTTATTTTAACCTATGACATGTGTCATTAATCCAAATAGAAACTTGGGGAAAATGGAGAGAAGCCGAATCCCTCCGGAACTTCGCCACAAAAATCTGACCAAAGTCATAACAAGCTGCTGCAACCTTGATTTCAAGGTCCTGGTGTTGGAATACATGCCCAATGGGACACTTGATAAATGGTTATATTCTCACAACTTGTTCTTAAACTTATTGCAGAGATTGGATATAATGATAGATGTTGCATCTGCAATGGACTATCTCCACAATGGCTATTCAACGCCTGTGGTGCATTGTGACTTGAAGCCAAGCAATATGTTGCTAGATCAAGAAATGGTTGGTCAAGTTAGTGATTTTGGCATTGCAAAATTGTTAGATGTAGGGGAGGCTTTCGTTCAAACAAGAACAACTGCAACCATCGGATATATTGCTCCAGTATATTAGAAACTTCTATAGTTAAGCAATTCTTTCCCCTATAAATGGATTGACACTCTCAGTTTTGGCATATTTCATTTTAACTAGGAAGCTTTCATGATCATTTTTTACCAAGATTACAGTGTATGGACAAGATGGAATAGTATCCACGAGTTGTGATGTTTATAGTTTTGGCATCCTAATGATGGAGAGGTTCACAAGAAGGAAACCAAGTGATGAAATATTTACAGGAGAAACAATCATAAAATAAGTTCAGGGAAAAAATGCACAAGTACCCCTCAACCTATGTCCGATAGGTCGAAAAGGGATAGAAAATTACTTATAAAATAAGTTGAGGGGGTAATAGGACCTTAGTGTTGTATAAGTGTGTCTCTGAAATTTCGGACATAGGTTGAGGGGGTACCTGTGCATTTTCCCTCAGAATTATTTACATCTTAACTTTATCAGTTTTTAAGTTTTATATTTGAACTATTGAAAGTATGAGTTTTCGACCTAAACAATCACCTAATGATTAGTGAAACACACCTTGACTAATTTATAATGTTGTGGTTAATACACTCTCTTATCTATTTAAAATTTTTGTCATGTAGCTCTCCACATGAAAAAATAATTTCACTGTGACAAAGCTAAATAAATTAATATTACGTTAAATGTTAGGATTAAAGATACATATTATCACCATATAAATTAATTTATTCAGTTTTGTGCCTGATATCTTCTTCTCCACCTTATTAGTCGTGGTCTCATCTCAGCCGCGGGTAAATATCTCATATACTTGGAAGGGGAGAATTTAGATTATATATATTCATTCTCTAATATTAGTAATCAATGTGGTGAGATTAGTGAATTTCTTTCTTCTAAAATTTGAACACTTGAAACGAATTTTTGTAATATAAACTATTTATAACCAACACAAAATTGTCTTATTTGAACTAGTGAATTCCAAATAATAAAGGTTAATAACCAAGTGGCAACTAACCATTATAAGGTCACACAATTTTAAGATAATACTGTAAAGCATTCTTTGATTATCTGCCTTGACCTTGCTTTGTGCCTTTGGTCTTTGGCTCAACAATAAGATAGTATATTGGAAAGTAAATATTTTTGCTTTACTGATTGCTTTGCTTTTTTGCAGAAAAGGGGATATTATTTGTTTTTTTCCACTTCCCTTTTTATAATGGAAGACTCTTGAAAGCAATTGAGTCTATTTAAATGTTATTTTATTCTACCTTTTATTTTCTTCCTTTAACTTCTTGTTCAAGTAAAAAAAAGTTTTTGAATTTTGAAAGATAAAAGAATAATATCATAGTTATAGTTATATATAAAAGGGAAAAAGGTCTGATATACCCCTCAACTTTGTCATTTGGAGCTCATATACCCCTCGTTATAAAAGTGGCTCATATATGCCCTTACCGTTATACAAACGGCTCACATTTACCCCTGCTGTTATAAAATGACTCACATATACCCTTCATTTAACGGAAGTTAAAAAATTTATTTTAAATTTATATTTATTACTTTTAATTTTTTTTAAAAAAAATTATTTAGAGATATATATGATTCTTCTATCAAAGTTCAATGTATATTTTAATTTTTTTCATACATAAATTATTTTTTGACTTCATTTATTATAATTATTTGAGTTTCTTATTCTTATTTTGTTTTTTTCTTTCATTCCTTAGTTTAAATAAAAAAATTAAACTATTTTTTTACTGTGTATTGTAATTTAATTTCGTATTCGAAGAAAAAATTTGGTCATCTACAATAAGTTTTACAAGAATATTAGTGAAACATAAATAAATTTGATTATCAAAATAATAATTATAAATTAGTCATTGAAATACAAAAAAATATGTTTGACGATGAATTAATTTACTCATATGGAGGCCCTCACCCTTATTGGATTCAATTATTTGCATGGTATGAATTTATTTTCTTTTTAGCTTTCTACAATTTTATGTATTCATTCATTTCAACCTTTCCATTTTTTTTTCATATTTTTTTATTATCTATAACACATACAACTAGTTTTTTATCAGATTAGATGACTGATAAGTGTCAAAGATAGACTTTCCACGACATATGAAAGAAAGTAGTCAATATATTGAATGAAGGGAGGGAGCCTTAATTAGATAAGGTTGTTGGAGAAAAAAGTTTTCGAATGTTACAACAATTTCGATCAAAATTAGAATATATTTTAGATCCTTTTCCCTATTTTAAAAAATTACAAATTCTCTAAAAAGTTTTACTTATCGTAATTGGTTTCGTGAAATCAAGGGGAGAAAAACAAAGTACTTAAATTGATTTTCAGAAATTAGAAATCACGTGCAACGCACATGGTAGTGTTATAAATAGAATACCACAACATTATAGGTATCATTAAATTTGATATCTATATTAGTTATGGACAGAAGTTCCACTCTCCTCTTTTTTCTTATAATTTTCATTCTACTATTACTACATGCCAATGCTAATAATATTAGCACTGATGAAGCTGCTCTTCTTGCACTTAAATCACATATTTCTAACGATATCTTAGCAACAAACTGGTCTTCTTCCGTCCCCGTTTGTAGTTGGATTGGAATCACTTGCAGCTCTCGACACCATCGAGTCACTGCTTTAGACATTTCAAGCATGCAACTTCATGGTACCATTCCTCCACACCTCGGAAACCTGTCATTTCTTTCTTCCCTTGACATCAGTAACAACACTTTTCATGGAGATTTGCCACAAGAATTGGCTCGTCTGCAGAGGTTGAAATCGATTAATGTCACAAGCAATAACTTCACCGGAGCCATTCCATCATTTTTAAGTTTGTTACCAAACCTACGCTTTGTGCACCTATCAAGCAACCAATTTTCTGGGAAAATTCCATCCTCCCTTTCCAATATAACAAAGCTGCAAAGGTTATACTTGGATAGAAATTTTCTTGAAGGAGAGATCCCTCGAGAAATCGGTGATCTTCGTTACTTGACTATCCTAGACCTGCAAATTAATCAGCTTAGTGGCTCTATACCACCATCCATTTTTAACATTACTACAATGCATGTGATTGCTCTTACGGGCAACAATCTTACTGGAAATCTTCCAAAAACGATATGTGATCATCTTCGAGACTTGGAAGGACTTTACCTCAGTAAAAACTCCCTAGATGGAGTTATTCCACCAAACCTGGAGAAATGCAGAAAGCTTCAAAAATTGCAATTGGGTGAAAATAAGTTTATTGGAACTTTACCAAGAGAGCTAGCCAACTTAACAGCTCTTACATATTTATATCTTTCAGAATTGCATTTGGAAGGTAGTATGAAATTTTCTTCCTTTTTCTCTTTTCCGCCAAACATAGTACTCATGATATATTTCCTGAAAATTGACAGGTGAGATACCAATGGAGTTAGGTAATCTTCAAAAACTTCAGGAGTTGGATTTAGCACTGAATGAGCTAACTGGCTCTGTTCCTCACAGCATTTTCAACATGTCAGCACTGCAGTATATAGATTTTGGAGAAAATAACCTTTCAGGTACTCTACCTTCAGATTTAGGTCGTGGAATGCCCAACCTAGAAATATTTTATTGTGGAGGAAATGATCTGAGTGGTTTTATCTCTGATTCAATCTCAAATTCATCAAAACTCAGAGAATTTGATCTCTCACAAAACAGTTTCACAGGTTCAATTCCTAAATCACTTGGTAACTTAGAATACCTTGAGTTACTTGACTTGCTGTGGAATAATTTTGTCAGCGATTCTACATTGAGCTTCCTTGCATCATTGACAAACTGTAGGAATCTAAGAGCACTCACGTTAGCAGGTAATCCGTTGGATGGTGTATTGCCTGCATCTGTTGGTAATTTCTCAAACTCCTTGCAAATTTTTGAAGCATATAATTGTACACTGAAGGGTGTCATTCCTCGAGAAATTGGTAATCTTACTGGACTGACAAGGATGAGTCTGTTTAACAATACATTAACTGGACATATTCCAAATACTGTACATGGCATGTCGATCCTTCAAGAACTTTACTTATTGAACAACAAGATAGAAGGAACCATACCAGATGTTGTCTGTAATTTAAAGAGACTTGGTGCATTACTCTTGTCAAAAAATCATTTTTCTGGTTCGGTACCCTTCTGCTTAGGGAACATTACTAGTTTGAGGATACTTCATCTATATAACAACAAGCTGGATTCTACATTACCTTCAAACTTGGGGAACCTTCAAGATCTCATAGAATTAGATGTTTCATTCAATTTATTTAGTGGGGAAATTCCAATGGAGAGTGGAAACTTGAAGGCTGCAACACACATTGATTTGTCAAATAATTGTTTTTCTGGTAAGATGCCTAGTACTCTAGGGGGTCTAGATAAATTGATTCATCTTTCTCTAACACATAATAGATTAGAGGGGCCTATTCCTGAATCATTTGGCAAAATGTTGTCTTTGGAATACTTGGATTTGTCCTATAATAATATTAGTGGTCAAATTCCAAAGTCATTAGAAGCTCTTGTGTATCTCAAATACCTAAATTTCTCTTTCAATGAACTCAGTGGAGAAATTCCCACTGGTGGTCCCTTTGCAAATGTAACCAGTAAGTCTTTCTTGTCCGATGATGCACTTTGTGGTGACTCCCGATTTAACGTAAAACCATGCCTAACCAAATCGACAAAGAAGTCCAAAAGAAAACGAGTGCTTATGGCTTTATATATTCTATTAGGGATTGGATCACTCTTCACGTTGACTGTTGGAATTGTGGTGTTAAGATTGAGAAACACAAAGAAGAATGCTACTCAAAAGGATGTGTCCCTCGTAAAAGGGCATGAAAGAATTTCATATTACGAACTTGAACAGGCAACTGAAGGATTCAACGAAGCCAACTTGCTTGGTAATGGGAGTTTCAGCAGGGTTTATAAAGGGATACTTAAGGATGGTATCATTTTTGCAGCAAAGGTATTCAATGTGCAATTGGAGGGTGCATTCAAAAGCTTTGACACAGAATGTGAGGTACTCCGGAACCTTCGCCACAGAAATCTGACCAAAGTCATCACCAGCTGCTCCAATCTTGATTTCAAGGCCCTAGTGTTGGAATACATGCCCAATGGGACACTTGATAAATGGTTATACTCTCACAATTTGTTCTTGAACTTATTGCAGAGATTGGATATAATGATAGATGTTGCATCTGCAATGGATTATCTCCACAATGGCTATTCAACGCCTGTGGTGCATTGTGACTTGAAGCCAAGTAATGTCTTGTTAGATGAAGAAATGGTTGCTCATGTAAGTGATTTTGGCATTGCAAAAATGTTAGGTGCAGGGGAGGCTTTTGTTCAAACAAGGACAGTTGCAACCATTGGATATATTGCTCCAGGTATACTTTAAGTTTTCTCGTATCGCTTTAAATACTCAAAACAATTATTTCCCCTAGGTATAAATTGATTTATGATCATTTTCTACCATGATTGCAGAGTATGGACAAGATGGAATAGTATCCACGAGTTGTGATGTTTATAGTTTTGGCATCCTGATGATGGAGACGTTCACACGAACAAGACCAAGTGATGAGATATTTACTGGAGACTTGAGCATACAACGTTGGATTAGTGATTCCTTTCCGGGGGAACTTCACAAGGTGGTAGATTCTAATTTGGTACAGCCAGGAGAAGAACAAATCGCTGCAAAGATGCAATGTTTGTTATCTATCATGGAATTAGCTTTGAACTGCACTTTAGTGAGACCTGATGAAAGAATTAGCATGAATGATGCTCTTTCAGCACTCAAAAAGATTAGACTACAGCTTGTTAGTAGTCGGCACTAGGTGGAATCATTACCAATCTTCTCTTGTATGTTATTTAGTTACCAGTCTGCTCTCTTATGGAATTTAGTTTCGCGCTAGGTGTATTTTGTGTTGGTTGTTGGTGCTTGATATATGGAAGTTGAGAATGAGATTTAAAATGCTCAAAACAAGATTGTCTTTTCTTATTTATACTGTTGTGCGGAATTTGAGATAATACGAGAAAATATATAAACGCGAAAAACAAGACAACATATTTACGTGGTTCACCAATAAATTGGCTACGTCCACGGGAAGAGAGGGAGCAGTTTTATTATGGAGAGGCAAAAACAGAATTACAAAATAGGGTTTGCCATAGCGTCTATATATATATATAGTGTTAAGCTACGCCCTAACAGGCTTGGGCCCAACATACAGAATTGACAGATTCAAGGCATTCAACAAATCTCCACCTTGACTTGAATTCTCCGAACAGATTCTTCAGACGCACTATGATAGTGCCAGGCCTCCCCCTCTTCCTCAGAGTTGCCCCGCAGGGCAATTAACAGCTTCTGATGTTGAGCAAGTCCAAACAGTGTTGAAACTTGCTCTGTGGAACCGGCTTTGTGAACATATCAGCAGGATTATCAGCAGTTCCTACTTTCTTCACCTTGATTCTCTTCTCACTTCTCAGAAAATGATACCTTACGTCAATATGCTTGGTTCTCTCATGATGGACTTGATCCTTGGCTAGACAAATTGCGCTCAAACTGTCACAATACACCGTAGCCTGATCATGATGCAGACCAAGATCACTAACCAGCCCTTTAAACCAAATCCCTTCTTTTGTCACCTCTGTCAAGGCCATGTACTCCGCTTCCGTAGTAGACAAAGTCACTGTAGGTTGCAAAGTTACCTTCCAACTGACGACAGATCCTCCAAGGGTAAACACATAGCCAGTCATCGATCTTCTTGTGTCAACATCTCCAGCATAGTCTGAATCAGAATAGCCAGTAACCAAGCACTGAGTATCACCTCCATAAATGAGACCAACGTCAGATGTACCTCTAAGGTACCGGAAAATTCTCTTCACAGCCTGCCAATGTTCTCTCCCTGGTTGTCCCATGAATCTGCTCACTACACTGACTGCATGTGCTAAATCTGGCCTTGTACAGACCATAGCATACATCAAACTTCCTACGACACTGGCATAAGGGACTCGTGACATATACTCCTTCTCTTCTTCTGACTGTGGAGCGAACATGGCAGTGAGGTGGATATTGGCAGCACTAGGGTTATCAATAGGCTTAGATGAAGACATGCCAAACCTCGCCAAGACCTTCTGAATGTAGCTTCTCTGTGACAAGAAAAGTTTCCTTCTCTCTCTGTCTCTAATGATCTCCATCCCTAGAATCTTCCGAGCAGCTCCCAGATCCTTCATCTCAAACTCCGCACTAAGTAAACCCTTCAGCTTATGAATGTCATACTTCTTCTTTGCAGCTATCAGCATATCATCTACATAAAGCACCAGATAGATGAACGAATCATCCTTGAGCCTATTGTAGTAGACACAACAATCATATGAGCTCCGAGTATAGCCCAACTTCGCCATATAGCTGTCAAACCTTTTGTACCACTGCCTTGGAGACTGCTTAAGTCCATATAAGGACTTCTTCAACTTGCAGACGTGATTTTCCTTCCCTGGAACTTGGAAACCATCCGGCTGAGTCATGTATATCTCTTCCTCCAACTCTCCATGTAGAAACGCTGTCTTCACATCAAGTTGTTCAAGCTCCAGATTCTGATGTGTAACTATCGCTAGTAACACTCGGATGGAAGTATGTCTGACCACTGGTGAGAAGATCTCATTGTAGTCCACTCCCTCTCTTTGGTTGAAACCTCTGGCAACAACCCTGGCTATATACTTGACTCCTTCTGCTGGTGATATCCCTTCCTTCTTCTTGAAAACCCATTTGCAAGTAATAATCTTTCTCCCCGAAGGCTGTATGACCAGATCCCATGTCTGATTCTTGTGTAGGGACTCCATCTCATCTCCCATAGCAGCAAACCATTTTTCAGAATCAGGACTTAAAATGGCTTCTTTTAAGTAGACGGCTCAGATGCATCTACCTCTTCAGCAACCTGCAGTGCATAACCCACCATGTCCTCAAAACCACACCTCGTAGGTGGCCGAACTCCAACCCTCCTTGGCCGATCTTGAGCTATACTCTGATGGATATCTGATGGCATAGATTCTGGAATATCAGTTTCTGTCTGTGGCTCTTGATCCTCCTCTTCAGGTTCCTTTAAATCGCTCTCGTTCTGAATGACTTGAAACTCCACCTGTTTGTCAAGACTCCCAGTTTCTAACGTAGTTGTAGGCTTCACAATGGTTCTAAGCAGAGAACTTTCATCAAAGAGAACGTTCCTGCTCATAATAACCCTCTTTTCTGCTGGAGACCAGATTCTGAAACCTTTCACTCCATCTCCGTAGCCCACAAATACTCCCTTTTTAGCTCTTGGTTCTAACTTACCTTCACTGACGTGATAGTAAGCCGTACAACCAAAAGCTTTCAGATTTGAATAATCAGCAGCTTTTCCTGACCACATCTCCCTAGGTGTCTTGCACTGTATGCCTATATGTGGTTCGCGGTTAACCAAGTAGCAAGCTGTACTAACCGCTTCTGCCCAGAATCTTCTATCTAGCCCAGCATTAGAGAGCATGCACCTTGCTCTCTCCAGAAGTGTTTGATTCATCCGCTCAGCTACACCGTTCTACTGTGGTGTATTTCTGACTGTACGATGTCGAGCAATCCCTTCATCCTTACAGAATTGATCAAATTCAGACCAACAGAATTCCAGCCCATTATCAGTTCGTAACCTCTTGATCTTCTTCCCTGTTTGATTTTCCATCAAAATTTTCCTCTCCTTGAACTTCTGGAAAGCTTCACTTTTATGCTTCATCATGTACACCCAAGTCATCCTTGAGTAGTCATCAATAATGGACACAAAAAATCTGCAGCCTCCCAAAGACTCAACACGGCATGGACCCCAGCAATCAGAATGGATATAATCAAGTGTGCCTTTTGTTCTATGAATGGCCTTTGGAAACTTGTTGCGATGTAGTTTTCCAAAAACACAATGTTGACAAAACTCTAGGCTCTTAACCTTATGACCAGCAAGAAGATCCTCCTTTGACAGAATTTGCATCCCTCTTTCACCCATATGACCAAGTCTCATGTGCCATAACTTAGTCATATCTTTCTGGTGAAATTCTGACGATGCAACATGGGCTGAACCTGTAACCGTGGAACCTTGTAGAAAATACAAAGTACCACGCATGACACCTTTCAGAATCAAATTTGAACCCTTCCAGACCCGCAAGACTCCATCTTTTCCCGACCAGCTGAATCCCTTGCTGTCCAAAAGACTGAGAGATATCAGATTTTTCGTCATCAATGGAACGTGCCTGACCTCGTTCAATGTGCAGAAGCTACCGTCATGTGTCCTTATCTTGATCGAGCCTGTCCCAACCACCTTGCAGACAGAACTGTTGGCCATCGAGATGCTGCCTCCGTCTACCTGCTCATAAGTCGTGAACCACTCTCTCCTAGGACAGATGTGATAGGATGCCCCAGAATCGAGAACCCACACATCTGAATGATGAGTGTGCTCATCCGCAACTAGGGAAATGTCTTCTTCGGAATTGGTGTCTTCTTCAGCAACAGCAGCAGACACTGATTGTTTTTCCGATTGCTTCTTCTTCTTCGGACAATCAAATTTCCAATGTCCCTTCTCCTTGCAGTAATTACAAACATCATCCGTCTTTGCACCCTTCGACATCGGCTTATTTTTCTTTCCGCCGTTTTTCCTTCCTTTTCCGCTACTGGTGAACAGACCGGAGGGCTGTATGTCTGTACTTGTGCCGTTAGCCTTATGCCGTAATTCCCTGCTATGAAGGGCCGATCTGACTTCTTCCAGTGACACAGTATCTTTCCCAACAATGAACGATTGAACAAAATTCTCAAACGACATTGGGAGAGATACTAACAGAATCAGGGCAGCATCTTCATCCTCGATCTTCACATCGATATTACGCAATTCTAATAACAAAGTATTCAATTACTCTAAGTGTTCCCTGAGTTGTGTACCTTCAGCCATTCGTAAACCGAATAGACGTTGTTTCAGAAGCAGCTTGTTGGTTAGAGATTTTGTCATGTACAACTCTCCAGCTTCAACCACAGACCAGCAGCAGTCTCTTCATCCGAGACCTCCGTGATGACGTCATCCGCGAGACACAGCATGATCGTCGAGTGCGCCTTTTCCTCCAGAATCGCCATCTCAGGAGTAACGACGGCGTTCTTGTCTTTCGACAACGGCGCCCAGAAGCCTTGCTGTTTCAACAAAGTCCGCATCTTGATCTGCCATAAACTGAAACTGTTCCTCCCTGTGAATTTGTCGATTTTCACGTTCAAAGCAGACATCTCGAATTCTCTAAGAACACCGATTAACCGAGAGGCTCTGATACCAATTTGTTTTGCGGAATTTGAGATAATACGAGAAAATATATAAACGCGAAAAATAAGACAACAGATTTACGTGGTTCACCAATAAATTGGCTACGTCCACGGGAAGAGAGGGAGCAGTTTTATTATGGAGAGGCAAAAACAGAATTACAAAATAGGGCAGCGAGACCCCCGTCCTTTCTGTTTGTAACGTGTCCGATTCAAGACATTCAACATATACAACTTTGAGAGTCCTTCCAATTATATCACCACAACTTTACCAGTTTTATCAAGTCCTCTCCTTCCAGCCATCTAAGTGTACTCTCCGAGAAGTAGCTGCCTAAATTCCTTGTCGTCAAACTTACGTAAAGAATCAAAAGCAACTTGCCTCCAAAATTTGATGCAGTTTAAACCTTTTAGTGTTCAATGAGTTTGTTGTGCGCCATTGGGTGAGGGAAGAGCTTTAACTCGTGCAGATATGTTTACTCAGTCCACCCTTGCTGAGTGTGGATTGCTTGCTGAACTTGAGCAGGTTCCTATTGCATCTCCACGGGCTTCTGAACCTCTAGATTGGATGTCTTGACTATGATGAGACATTTAGT